AAAATACGTATAGTGAAAATAATAAAATATATTATAACAATAATAGTAAAATAATAATAAAATACCAATAGTAATGATAATAATAAATATTATTTATATATATAAATAATATTTATTATTATCATCATTACTATTGGTACTATTGGTATTTTATTATTCTTTTTTATAACATTATATTTGGGCTGCACGATAAATCTCATGCGATATTTAATGCGCATCTTGTCAGAAAGCCGGTTCTGTAATCAGCGGTAAATCTCCATCACGTGCGTGCATTTAATATTTTAATTTATTATTTATTTAATTAAATTATTTTTATATATTTTATTGGTTTTAAGTTTTGTCAAAACTTGTCAAGTTGTTTAAATCGTTGTTTTTAAATCATCATTTTATGAAATTAGGCCAAATGTTGGAAAAAGAACATTTCTATCAATTTCCCAAACGATGGGACCAGATTGTTTATACCTGCTGTAGAATAGGTCATTCCAGGATTTTATTCCAGGACAAACCATCATTTTATGGTTTAGGATGTTGATATAAACACTGATCTAACTCTAATTAACTCTATTATCTATTGTATTTATATTGGTGCAGGCTGTAAAAAAGACAATTCTGTCATTTGCTCACCATGCTCACCACTAAACCTGAATGAGTTTCTTTGCTCTGTTGACCACACTGACTTCCATAGTACAGGATGAAAAAAGAGATAGCCATACTGTAGCACACCAACACATGAGGAAATGTGATGTTAGCAACACATTTATATACTAACAGTTGTTCATGTGAAATGAATGTGGAGCACATACATCGACAGAAATCATTTACTCACCCTGGTGTTGATCTAATGCTGTATGGCCTTCTTTATTTTATGGACCATGACCAAAAGCCAGTATCAGGATTTTCATTAAATGCATAAAATTTCATATCACATTCCCCCAGAACATATTCCCTGGTCGCTATTCACTGCCATTATACAGATGAGAGTGAGCAGAACTTTTTTTTTTTTTTTAAATCTCCATTTGTGGTCCATAAAAGAAAGAGAGGCATAGGGAATTCAAACAGTAAATTGCTTTTCATTTTAGGATAGACTATTCCTTTAATGCACAGCTAGCCGTGGATTATTCCCGCTTATTCCATGCTCATTTGTCAGCAATGACAATTTAACATTATTGATGTTTGCAGCACAATATTTGAGCGGAGGGTCAACTGGGTTGTTTGTTGTG